AACTAGGCCAATAAGTAAAAATGTGAAATCACAGGGACAAGTTTCTCACTTTTGGAAGAGGGGGTTATAAATACAGAATAAACCCTGTAGTGTTGCACTGGGTCCAGAAGTATTAATATAAACCCAATGCTTTCAGTAGACAGATAAAGATGTATATGAATGTGTGTATAAATGACAAAGGCAAGGCAAAAGGAAACAGGAATCAGCTCGAATGGGCTCCCACTGACCAAATCAGTAACAGCATCAAAATAAATAATGAAAAAAAGTATTATAAGTAAGTATAGGAGACATGATGGAATTAGAAAATCACCATTTAGGAACCACCATGAAAATTATTCAGGCAGAAATACAAAAGTTAGTAAAAGTTCAAGAAGTAGTAGGAAATTTACAAAATCTCAAAGTATTTTTTCAAAGATACCTCAAAATTATAAACACAATGTCAATGTACTTAATCACTGAACTATACACTTTGGTTAAAATGGTTAAAATGATAAATTTTATGCATATTTTACCACCAAAGTAATTATAAAAGGAAAAATAGTAACTTTGCACTGGAAAACCTGGCAAATACTACCTTTAAAGGAGTGACCCAAGACCACATTACTAATATTTCAACATCCTGTGCCTCCTGACACAATGCCCTGAGAAGTACAACATTACTTCTGTGGTACTCCTGCCAGAAATGGGTAAACTGAAGCCGGTAATGAGAAAACAGCAGATAAACCCAATTTATAAGCATTCTACAAAAGAACTGATGCCTTTGAACTGTGGTGCTGGAGAAGACTCTTGAGAGTCCCCTGGACTGCAATGAGATTAAATCAGTCAATTCTAAGGGAAATTAACCCTGAATATTCATTGGAAGGACTGATGCTAAAGCTGAAGCTCCAATACTTTGGCCACTTGATGCAAAAAGCTGACTCACTGGAAAAGACCCTGATATTGGGAAAGATCGAAGACAAAAGGAGAATACAATGGCAGAGGATGAGATGGTTAGATAGTATCACAGACTCAATGGACATGAATCTGACCAAACTCCAGGAGACAGTGAAGGACAGGGATGCCTGGCAAGCCGCAGTCCATCGGATGGCAAAGAGTTGGACACGACTTAGCGACTCAACAATAAAATAATAACCGCAAAATAACTAGCTTGTACTCTTCAAAAATGTTAATGTCATGCAAAAACAAAGACTGAGGAAATGTTCCAGATTAAAGGAAACTAAAGAGACATGACAATTGAATACACTTCAAGAGCCAGAATTTTCTTTTGCTACAAAACAGTACATTATAGGGATAATGAGTGAAATCTGAATAAGTCTGTGGACTACAGTATAATATTAAATCAATGTTAATTTCCTGATTTTGATAACTGTACTATGCTTTCATGAAAGAATGTCCTTGCCTTTAGAAAATGTACTCTTAAGTATTTAGGTAAACAGGAATAAGTCTGTATCTTACTCTCAAACAGGGAAAACACTCTCCCTTTATTGTTAGAAGACCTTCATATTTCCAACATTAAAAGAACATAAACATACAAAATATGGAAGCTTTAAAAATAAACTCTAAAGCAAATACTTATCCATTTAGTGGATAGAGAAAATTCAGTCATTATAATACTAGGGAGATTGTAGGCCTGACCTTACATACAAACTTATTAATGATCAGGAGAGTGCAAATAACACGTTTAATTAAATTTGCTCATTTATCTATTTTGGGAAGTACGATTAACAGCATTAACAGCAGTGAGAGAGAGTAGTAGTAATATAAAAGGACAGAGACAGATTAAAAACAATGGCCCAAAACAAACCAAATTGGAAAGTGAAGAGACGGCTAGGTAAAATAAGAAGCTTAAAAGAACTAAAGAAAGATATCAGACGCTTAAGTACTATCAATTTTAAAGCAGGCTGTTGCTATATGAAGCAATTTTGGCAAACACCAATGCTACATGAGGAAATATATATATATATATTAATGTATATATCTATACACATATCACACACATGCATACATACCCATCACCTTTTTCCCTATAAGAGACTGATAATCCTTACTTAATTAAGGATTCATGAAGGGATAACACCCTAAAAAGAGAGTACTATTGATGTAGTTTGGTAAGAATAGTTTCATACTCATAGTTTCACAAGTAGAGAAACTCTATCAAGGATTATCAATAAAGAATTACACTATCCTAAGCATGGCAACCCACTCCAGTATTTTTGGCTGGGACAAAGAAGCCTAGAGGGCTACAGTCCATGGGTCGCAAAGAGTCGAACATGACTGAAGCGGCCTGGCACACACACAGACTTAATTCTGTTATCTACCCTATATTCTTCAACTAGCTACCCTTGGGTTATCCTTATTTTTCCTCATTTTTCTCTCCAGGCACTGAGCATTCAAAATATTCTACATTTCCCAACCTCTCCTGCAGGAAGGTGTGGCTCTGTGACCAACAGAATAGGAGCAAAAGTGGTACATCTAACTTTTGGAAGTATACTTCAAGGGAAGAAGATGTGTCCTCTTCCTCCTTTCTGCTGGTTCATATGTGGATGAAGAGGCTGGAGCTCCAACAGCCATCTTAGACCACCAAGCAACTTTGGAAAAGAACAGAATCCATGCACAGTGGAGCAACATGACACCATGACAAACCACAACTGTCCCAGACCACTTCTGGAATTCATGACACTGAGAGAAATGAACTTCTATCATGCTTAAGTCTCTATTATTTGACTGCAACCAAATCTTATCCTAATTAATATAACCTCTATACTAATGTACACTCCTGATTTTCTTTCTCTCTCTAAACAATCTTCCACTGCTCCTTTGCTGGCTCCTTTTCTGCTTCGCACTCCCTTACCATGAATATTCCCCAATATTCTATCCTTGGCCAAACTTCACAGTGAGGAAGATTTATCTTTTCTGCTCTTCTCCCACTAAGTTCTAGGTCACACATTCTAAAAAGCCTCATTCCTATATGTCCGATCATTTATTTGAGCTCTGATTTTAACTCTAGCTGTCTATCATTCCATTTGTACAAGATGTAATTAAACAGGAACATAAGTGATTTTTAAAACTAAAAAGATAAACAGACAAAATGGAGATGGTAACAATAGTAGTTGTTGTGATGGTAATAAATAGCTAACACTTAGCGAGCTTTTAAAATATGCCAGACACCATTCTAGTAGCTAATCCTCACGATAATCCTATGAAGCAGGAAGTATTATCACCATCCTCCTTTTAAAAATGAGGAAACTGAGACCCAGGCAAGTTAAGAAACTTATTCAAGATACAGAATCAATGTACTAAAGAGATCATTCAAACCTAGTCTTCCAGAACCCACCCTCTTAACCAGTATGCACTAGCATCTCTTCTCGGAATGCTATCACAGCTTAAGGTTGTTCTCAGCAGTGATGACAGTTATCTAAATATCCAGTATGGTAATAAATTTCATGCCTCGGCAGATTAACTTTTAGGGACCGTCAAATATCACTTAGAAATAAATATGGTAAATAAGATGAGTGATCAAGCAAGATAATATTCTTGGGCACAGAAGATATGACCATAAAGTAATGAGATTGGTTTTCTTATATGGCTCTAATGGTTCTGAAAGCAGTTCCAAAAGACAAATTCCAAAGAATAATTATTTGCTAGAATAAATGCATGGTCCTAAGAATGATTACTTTAAAAAGGACAGCATTCATTTATAATAAATTTAATAATGAAGATCTTTACTTTTAAAGTACCAGATTTTTCAACTACCACTCAAACCTACAACTTGTAAAAGCACTTGAACTCATTATCTTTCTCCCTAGACCTCTCTGAGAGCCTTCCTCAATGTCACTATCAAAATACTACAATACAACTATCTGTCAAACTCAAAACTTTGAGGTATTCCAACTTTCAGCTTTTCTAACCCTACACTTATTGTTCTTCCTCCACAAGAGCTATTATGCTTTCTATTTCTACATTATTCCATAATTGCCCTATTGCCCTACCCTAAAGCCACTCCCTACTTGGCGTTACCGCTAAGCCACCAGGACAATCTCTCTCAAATACTGTTTTCATCATGACTTTCAACAAAAATATCATCTTTAAGGATCAAATCTAAGTTCTTTAGCCCAGCCTTCAGAACCTTCCATTATTTCTTCATTATCCCCATATACATGTAAACCTAGCAAATCACATCTCTTTACTACTCATCATCTTCCATTTGTGCAATATTGTTAAAATACCCCTTCTGTCTCATTCAGTAAACATATTGCACTTTCTGCTTCTAGCTTCTCATCACTCTATGTGGAATTTTCTTCTGTCCTCTCAATTTATCATTCTATCACTTCCTTCAAGATCCTCCTCTTCCATGGAGTCCTAATAACCTCAAATAAATACTGCTCTATTTTACATTTAGTAAAATGGGATGAACTGCAAAGACTGACCAGACTATGTAAGAAAATAGACATCCCAGAAATAAACCCACATTTTCAGGGTCAATTAATCAACAATACTGGAGGCAAGCCTACACAATGGGGAAAACAGTCTCTTCAATAAATGCTGGTGGGAAAACTGGACACCCACATGTAAAAGAATACAAATACACCACTTTCTTACACCAAATACAAAAATAAACTCAAAGTGGATGAAAGACTTAAATGTAAGACCTGAAACCATAAAACTGCTAGAAGAAAACATAGGCAGCACACTCTTTTGACATCAGTCTTAGCAATATTTTTTTGAAATCTGTTTCCTTGGGAAGGGCAACAAAACCAAAAATAAATGCAACTACATCAAACTCAAAAGCGTCTGCCAACCAAAGGAAACCATCAACAAAATGAAAAGGCAGGCCTCGTTATATGTTGCTTAGGTTGTGAGATTATGAGTTTTGTTGGTGTTCTTTAAACTTTTCTGTATTTTCCAAGTTTTCCACAGTAAGCATGTATTTAATTTTTTTTTAAAGAAAAAAGTATTTCTAAAAAAGAAACTAATCATTTAATTTTTTAAAATGAGTTTACCTATGAGGGCTTCCCTGGTAGCTCAGCGGTAAAGAATCCGCCTACAATGCAGGAGACACGCAGAAGCCGCAGGTTCAATCCCTGAGTCAGGAAGATGCCCTGGAAAAGAAATGGCAACCCACTCCAGGATTTCTGCCTGGGAGATCTCATGGACAGAGAAGCCTGGCAGGCTGCAGCCCATACTGTTGCAAAAGTGTTGGACATGACTTAGCCACTGAACAACAACAATCCTATGAAGGGGTCAAGTAAGCAGTTAACAGGCCTGCAGCCAAAGTTGGCTTGGTGTTTGTATTTTGAATATGCAAAATAAAATGAGTGCTTAAGGGAAAATTTTAGTGTAATAAAAGTTGTATAAACATGTTATTTGATTTACTACTAAAATCTGCATTTCTTCTCTCTTGGATAATTACAAACGTCTACAAGATCTCCCCAAGTAACAGATAAAAACTCAATAAACTCAACAAGCTCTTGGCCATGCCCTCCTGGTTGTTTCCTCTTGCAGTCTTTCACCAGTTCCCTCCCTGAATCCACCTGTCATTTCTAAGTCAGCCCTTTCCTCTACATCTGTTTACCCCTCTTTCTAACTGCCTCAGTCTGATTGTCCCTCTAAAGTGTTTCTGATGTCCCCTGTCTGTCTCTGACAAACCCTCACTCTCTGCTTTTGTTGTGTATCCTCTTTCTGTCTCAGGGACAAGTTACCCACCCCAATGTGAGACTTTTCCTCTCTGTCTCTGCCCTTCCGTCAGTCTTTCCCCTACAGTTACCCCATTTCCAAGACATCCTTGTTAACTTTTCCCTCTACTCTTTATGAACAAGCAGGGTTGGTATTATTAACCCTATTTTACAGATGGTAAGAAAAAAACAACCAGGGCTACTGGTATAAATTTCAAAGGGGAATGTTTAAATCCAAGGGCTTCCCTTCTTTAATACTCATCTGGTATTCCATGGCAAAGAACCTGAAACAGCCCGTATGCAAGCCAGGATTAACATTACACCTATTTTTTCCTACAAGGCAAATCTCATAATAAGAATACCACATACCATTTGCCCATACTTTTGCCTTCGTACTGAGTTAAACAGTCATGAATTTGTCCATTCTAGAAATTCATATTACCATATGTACAGGTTAACTGTGTTATTTGGGAACCTCAGAATAGTAGGCACAAGAATCTGCTGCTTCTAACAGTGCTTCTCTGCTTCTGTTGTTATCCCTAGTCTAAACCAGCCATGTTTGACATAAAAATAAATAATAACAAAAAATTTTACAAAAAGGGCACAAGGGACAACAGATAAAACTGAAGAACAAATTTGAAGAATAAAAAACTAGACAGAGGCTAGCATGAGACTGTGAAAATGCATACCATGGACTGTGAGCAATGGGTCCATGTTCTACTGCGAGGAAAATACTCTCTCCACATGCAGGGTTACCGCGGCACAGCAATACCCTATCACTTCTCTTCTCTCTAAACCTCTGACAACTGGAATTCCTCTTTAATTCAATAAGCTCTCAGGAGTTCAGGAGTTACCTAGGCTTCATTCATCCTACTGGGCTCATTAACAGAAAACTCTGCATGTTTTCCCCACTAGCTAAAAGCACATTTTCTGGTGTGTGGCATAGTAGAAGTAGGTTCTCTTTTAAGACATGAACATCCTAGTTCCATTTCTTCTCACTTCTCCTGTGGGTGGGATGCCTGCAACCAATACAATTCAACAACTAAGAGAAATGTCTAAAATATAGTTCAGGTTAGTGATTATCAAAGATCATCCCATAGGTCACCAGTTTTATACACAGTGTGAGTGCTAGTCTTGTACTGCAGTTTTATATAATTAAAAATCTACACTTCTACTTTTGGCACTAGTTCATTTACTTCTGTCATGTCTAATGAGTGCACAAGTGCCAAATCAACAATACACTAGTCTTATCACTCATTCTGGTGAGATAGTTTGTAAATGGTGAGCTAATGAGGACAGGGTCACAGATTGAAATACATTAGACAATTAGTTTTGCTATTTTTCAGGGTTCAGTTGGCACGGTCAACAAACTTAACCTTGGCTAAAAAAATTACAGTGATCATGTGAAGCTTTATGAGAGTGAATATATATGTATCACCTAAATTCATGACTATAAGAAAAGATAATAACTAAACACAGTAACGATAATACTATCTTTCACTAAGCCTGAAAATGGGTCTATCTTCCAAAAATTTCTTTTAAATAAAAAAGTCAAGAACAAAAATGTTTAAAACATAAAGGAAAAAAATAACATGGTACAGCACACAAAGCAGATTTTAATGGAAATGACTATTGTTATAGTTTATACACAAGTCTGTAGTAGGGAAAAAAAAATTGTCATCTTGCTGATTCTTAACTACAGGTCACGGTGAAACTGGTAAAGTGGAACCAGGGGAAACCACATAAAAAAGAGAGTAAAGGAAACACTTCCTAGACATTTGCATCTTCAGACAACTTGTAATAAACACAGCATCTGAAGGAATGAAAAGTAAACATTTCAATTCTTAACTCTAAGACTCTGCCTGGACCAACAAATCAGTTTTCTCTAGTAGACGTTCCCCCTGGTTTCTCTAAACTCTCACCGCTTGTAGATACACACACACACCAGTGCCACCAGAAGCGCTTGTCACTAAGTTATCACTTTCAGAAACTGAGAGTCACCAAATCTTCTGGCCCCTACCCACTAGATTGAACTTTTACAATCAAACAGTCTGGCTTTAAAAAAAAAGGCAGGGAGGGTGGGAAGCGAATAAAAAATGCTCTATAAAACTCTAGTCAATAGTCAACATCTAAGTCAATAACAATGCAGCAATGAAAATAAAAGACGCTTACTCCTTGGAAGGAAAGTTATGACCAACCTAGATAGCATATTAAAAAGCAGAGACATTACTTTGCCAACAAAGGTCCGTCTGGTCAAGGCTATGGTTTTTCCAGTGGTCATGTATGGATGTGAGAGTTGGACTGTGAAGAAAGCTGAGCGCCAAAAAATTGATGCTTTTGAACTGTGGTGTTGGAGAAGACTCTTGAGAGTCCCTTGAACTGCAAGGAGATCCAACCAGTCCATCCTGAAGGAGATCAGTCCTGGGCATTCACTGGAAGGACTGATGCTGAAGCTGAAACTCCAATACTTTGGCCACCTGATGTGAAGAGCTGACTCATTAGAAAAGACCCTGATGCTGGGAAAGACTGAAGGCAGGAGGAGAAGGGGACGACAGAGGATGAGATAGTTGGACAGCATCACCGACTCAATGGACATGGGTTTGGGTGGACTCCGCCAGAGTTGGTGATGGACAGGGAGGCCTGGAGTGCTGCAGTTCACGGGGTGGCAAAGAGCAACTGAAATGAACTCAACTGAAGTCATTAACATAGATAATTGTTCTGCTACAAGCTACAATGTGCAGAATGACACAAAATTAAATTCATATTATGGGTTATCAATGAAGCACTGGCCCAATAGCACACCCCAGCAACAAGAGCATTCTGGAAACTTCTAAACGTAAAAATCTTTATATAAAATGCAACTGCTTAAAAAGAAAAAAACCCTGCACTCTAAGCACTTCTTACTGCTTCTTTAAGTTTATGGGTTAAGGATAACTATCCTCACTTTACGAACAACAACAACAAAATTGAATCTTAAGAAAATATTTACCTAAAATTTCATCACTTTTTACTATCATCATAGTCATCAATTAGAGTAGCAACAAAATAATGAGCACGTACTCACTCCAGCACTACTTTATATTCACATCTCATTTAATCCGTATAGACACCTTAACAGGTAAGTGATATCATCTTCATTTCAGAAATTAGTAGACAAGCTTAAAGAGAGGAAATAATTTGCCAGAACTCACGAACTGGAAGTCACAGCAACGGGATTTCAACTCAAATTTGTTCAGCTTTATACATTCAACAATTGTACTGCCATCCTTTGGTTTCAGAACCACATTCAAGTATTTTCCAACCAATGATTTCAGAAATAATACAAGACTACCTAATTACTATACTGCCAAACCCACAAAAAGTTGACTGTAAAATCCTCACTCTCTACAAGGGGAAAGAGAAACAAAATCACCTGCTTGGAGTCTCAGACTGAACTGCCAGAATAAAAACTAGATATGAATACTGGCTGTTTATATTCTGAATTCTAACTATAAGGTAACAGATTCCTAACACATGTATCTAGGATAGGTAAAAATAACTCCAATATTTCTCATTTCAGCTAGTATACATTCAGGTTAGTGATAAAAGAGCTAGGTTTAGAACAAGTAGTACCTCAAAAGGGCCGACCAGCTGGCGACAAGCATAAGCCTAGAACTACACATGAGGAACATTAAGTACTTTCCGGGTTATTTGTCCACTGTGTAGCACTGAAGAAAGGATGGCTGTAACAATGCAAGACGAGAACAAGACTGCAGGTAAGTGCGTGCACGCAAGCTGGTGGGACAGAACAATCCAAATTCTGGTGGAACCTTAAAATCCAAACTAAGTTTAAAAAAATTGACTCCACAGGTGATGGGGCCCTAATGTTACCTCTTCACCAGGAACACGACATAAGAACATGTGTATGGTTCACTTTCGTTTCCAAAGACATTTCCCCCCTATTTACTAACTCATTTGATCTTCATACGGTCCACGATCACGTTTATGATCAAGTCCATAAAGACATGAACACGGTTTGCAAATTCAACTGACCTGGGCTGGAGACAGAAAAGACAGTGAGATTGTTATATGGGAAACATGCTTTCTGACACATGTCACTTCTGCTAAACCGCTCGACACTGGAAGGCAGGCAAGCCAAAGACGATCACCCCCATTTTTCAGATTGGGAAACCCGGGAGGCAATAAACGGCTACAGCAAGTGGCAGGCCCGAGACTCTACCCAGGACATCAGATTCCAAATCCTGTGCTTCTTCCCTACTCAACTCTGAGAGGAGGATTTTATTGATAAAGAAAACTTTAAAAAGCGGACTTGGGAGTTTTTCGAGGGTGGCCCAACAAAACCAGGAAGTATACTCTCCCTCGCGAACAGACAGCTCACTCCCAGCTCATAGCCCGGGGCTCCCAGCCAGCCCAGCGGACTCGCTCCAGAGGCTCAGGGCTCGGGCCCCGAAATCGCCCGAAGCCCCGGGGTAGCCTCAGGTGGCCCCCGGGGTCGTCTCAGGTGGCCCCCGGTGTCCACAGCCTCCTACCCACTGGAGAGAAAAAGGGGTCCCCAAGTCCCCAGTCAGTACCTGTTGAAACACAGGAAAGGAAATGCCCCTTCGCAGACAGTATTTGGGGAGAACACCCAAAGAAAGCACGCAGCCCAAAAGAAGGAAAAGGTGGTCTGAGACGGTCCCCCGCAACCCAGGGCCCGCAAGGGTCGAAGGGCGGGAGCTTCCCAGTAACCTCCGCCGCAGGCGGGGGCCGGCCCCACGCGTCACGTGAGAAGAAAAATACCGGTAACAAAACGGGAAAGAAAGCTTGTCCCAAGTGTTGAGGGAGACTTGGAAGCCCCGAGCCCCAGTCTGGAGTGCGGAGGGAGGGAGGGACAGGTACGCGAAGCAACTTGTTACCCAGGGCGTCTTGGCTCTCCACATCCGCCGCCTCCTCCAAGCTCTAGCCCTTCCGCTCGAGCCTCCGAGACGTGCTCCAGGCCTCGGCTCCGCCCCCCAGCGCCGCGCAGCCTTCTGGGGACTGTAGTCTCCGCGAGCCTCCCCCCCACCCCCCCGCGTAGGCGGCCTCCGGGTCACGTGGGGGGAGGAGCAGGCAAAAGGACGCAGCCCCTGCTGTCCGCTCACTCCTCCCCCCTCCCTCTCAGCTATAAAGGGGCTCAGAGGTTCAAACGTCCTGCTCAGTCGTACCATCCCTCCTCCTCACAGCAAAGCTTTTTTAAAAAGGTAGTCTGAACTGGCTGTCGCCACTTCCTCCTTCGTCCTCTGCCAGGCAGCTTCTGCCCCGAAAGAAAGTGCCCTTGTCACCATCACTCATCGAAGGTAGTTTCAAATCACCAACTTAAGCTTTAAGCACCATTTGATGCTGTTGGACATTATCACTTATTTTCCAACTATCTTCAGGTTTTCCTTGTTCCTCTCTGGTCATTCTTCTCAGTCTGTTTCAAGAATTCTTTTTCTAACCTTCTTAAATATCAGTGTTCTCCAGAGTTCTTGGAGAACACTAATGTTTAAGTCTCCTTTTGGACCTCCCTGCAGTACAGAAGACCGGGGTTCGATCCCTGGGTTGAGAAGATCCGCCGGAGAAGGAAATGACCACCCACTCAAGTATTCTTGGCCTGGGAAATCCCATGGACAGAAGAGCCTGGCGGGTTACAATCCATGGGGTCGCAAAGAGTCGGACACAAGTGAGCAACTAATATTTTCACACCCAACAAGCACTTGAAATGTAGCAACTTAAAAAGTGACTCTTCCCTCCTCCCTATTCACTAACACTCACTCCAACCTTCAACCTAGATTCCTCCGTCTCACTTCTTACACTGTGTCCAAATGGGCACCAGATTGTGTAGATTCTATGTCCTGAGGGTGTCTTGAATCTGTTTCATCTTTACACCCACCGCCAGAGATTTAAATCAGATTTGTCTCATTTTTTACCTGATTACAGCATAGTCTTCCTTACTGGGCCCAGCACTTCAGCACCTCTGCGGGTTCTTCCCCACTGCCATACCTCTGTGGGTTCCTCCCCACTGCCATCAGGCCTATTTATGTAACCAGCAAAATTTAATCACATCACACTTTTGGTTAAACCAATTAAAGGATCCACTTGATTGGCTTTGAGAAGAGAAAAGGAAGGGTATCTCTTGAGTGATTTTTACAAAACATGGAGGCCAGCCCCACTAAGTCCCTATCCTTATACCAGTAAAATTAAATCATGTCACACTTGGTTAAACCATTTAAAGGATCCACTTGATTGGTTTTGAAAGGAGAAATGGAAGTGAATTTCTTGAGTGGTTTTTACAAAACGTGGACACCTACCTTACTACTTTCTCTACATCCTTGTGGTTCAGAGGTTCAGGGAAGAGAGACTTACAGATCTTATTTCAGGGTAAGTGGACATAAGCATGTTTTAAACGTTCCCCAGGTAATGCAGTCTTTCAACAAGATTGTATTTTGTTGACTACTATGTAGGAGGCTTTGTGTCAGATACTAAGAAAACAATAGTAAACAAGACAGTCCCTGCCCTTGTGCAGTTTACAGTCTCTTGGAAGAGACAGATGTTAATCAAATGATTCCATACCAGAAAAAAATGAAACCCACAAAAACAAAACCTGACAATTACCAGTTGTGAATTAGGCAGGAATTATTATGCAGGGAAAGTGATCAATTCCTTTCTCTTTCCCTCTGCCACCCCATCCTATGCTGTGAATCAGCATAGCTCCTCAGCCCATCAAACACAGCCTGGCAGAAGCTAATCTTCCTCCACGCTCTCCTATATACTTTTAGACTTATGGAACTGCTGAGTTGCATAAATTGTTCCTCTGTTTGGAAAACTCTTACCTTTCTCCCTTGACCAACTTCCACCCAGTCTTACTCTACTTTGCTGCATTCAAAGCAAACCCAGTAGAATTCTGGCTACAAGGAAACCCTTTCTGAGGCTTGGACTAATCAAGTGGTAACTCCTGGGCAAGTAGAAATGAGCTAAGTTAGAGAAGACAGGAACAGTTGAACATGGGCTACTGGGAGCAGGGCTCTGTTAGCTATTTTGGAGTTAAAAGGCCTGAACCAACATACCCAGTCTTCAAAACACAGATCAAGTGTCACCTCCTCCAGGAAGCCTTTGCTGAGCTCCCCAGCATGAACTAGTGGGTTCTTGTTGCACCCATGCAGACCTCTTGTCCAGTGACAGGCTAGAGGCAGCTCATAACAGCTTTCGTGTCCAACTCTTTGCAACGCCATGGACTGTAGCCTGCCAGGCTCCTCTGTCCTTGTAATCTTCCAGGGAATAATACTGGAGTTAGGTAGCTGTTCTCTTCTCCGGTGGATCTTCCCAACCCAGGGATCAAATCCAGGTCTCCGCATTGAAGGTAGATTCTTTACCATCTGAGCCGCCAGAAAAGCCCTTTGAAAAACTGTTTTTACAAGTCAGTTTTTAAACCATTGGTAACTTGAAATCAGCTCAGATGGGAGTATTTACACCACCATGGAAATCAACAAATGACAGATCAGGTTCTTTTTTTGAGAGTCAGTTTACCAGCATATCACTACCTTTGTCACAAAATGTATCTCTACGTTATGTTGTGATGATTACTCCCCTTTGAGAGACAAATTCTCTGTAACAACTTCATTTAGCAAATATTTGGTATTTATTACTGTGCACCAGAGACTAGCAAAATTCTGAAGGGATTTATAGTGGAGAACAAACAATCATGTTACA